GCCGGCCCGGCCCAGCTCCACTCCCACCGGGCTGCAGCCGAGCTTAGCAAACTTGGTGATCGAAGGGCCTGTCTACAAAGCTTTTTTTTTTTCCTGTTTTTCTTCTTTCTTTTGCTGAAAAATAAATGAGTCTTAGAAGGTTGGCTCATTTTACAGACGCACATCTTTTCATTACAATATTGTGTGTGCCTGTGTGTTTGTGGGTTTTTTTTCCCCTCCTGATTTTGACGCATTCATGGCGATGGGTTTCATGAGATACATTTTTATTTCACCTTTTGAACCAACGGAAGTGAGGTAATTGAGTGTATTGCGTATTTTCGTATTTTGGTAAACTTCGATAGCTTTAACTTTCTTCTAAGGAACTATGTTCGAAATAGTTCTTTTACCTAAGGATGGCCAAGTAATTTGTTTTTACAAACAGAGGTTCTCATTTCTCATCTAAGTTTGTTTTTTTTGTGTGTTTTGTTATTTTTAAAAAAAGAAACCAAAATTTTAAAAATTGCTAGTACAAATTCAGTATCTAGTTTTATTTTGAATGAATGTTTAAAGTACTGGTAATCGCTGGGCTTCTTTTAAATTTATATCCTGGCATGGTTTGTTTTTCTGGCAGCCGAAATTGATGATGGGAGTTTTTAGTGTTGCCTACAAACCCGCTTTATAGGATATTTTGCTCTTCTTTCCGTCGGTTGAGCGTAATTCATTTGCTTGCTAGGTGTCAAAATTGTGACTTGAATAGTAAAACCTTAACTTCAACATTCCTTAAGTTATAAAGCAATTTAGGTGACAAAAAGTTGGCCTGGTCTTAATTCTCTTCATACCTAGGTAGCTTAATATTATGCCTTCAGTGTTTATCAGATACCCTATATTAAAAAGATTATATATATATATATATATAACATAGAAATTATGCTTAACAGCTATGTTTTCTAGTGTCTGTTTTCTACTGTTCAATGTAGTGATATTGTCTCAGGGTTCAGAAAAGTAAAAGTTGCTTTATTCTTATGAACTCTTGTCTCCCTTTATTACACGGTGAGAGCTATGTAACCCTTTCAGGTTCGTTTTTAGCCTTGATTGATCAGAAGCTCACTCATTGATTTTCTGATAAATTGAAAGTATATCACTTAGCCTGTTGTCCAGCATAATTTTTGTTTTAGTCCAATTTCCAGACCTTTCCTTCTCTCCTGACTTTCATCTATATTACTTAGATCCTTTTTATCCTTTATAAAGGGCTATTTAAGAGAAGAAAAAGAAAAAAAAAATCCCTGGCTGGGTGGCTCAGTTGGTTGGAGCTTCATCCCATACACCAAAAAGAGGTTGCCTTTCGGGGTGCGTATGGAAGGCAGCCAATTGATGTTTCTCTCGTATGGGTTTCTCTCTCTCTCCCTCTTTCTCTCTCAAAATCAATTTTTTTAAAAAAAAAAAACAAAAACATCCTTGAGTGAGGATTTTTAAAAAAGGGCTTTAATTACCTCTTGGCTTTTTGGCTGAGATCAAGTGTAAAGGGCTTTATTATATTGCTTAAAACTACATGCTGTTTTAAATCCACTTTGAGAATAGAGGTAGTTGGAGTTATTTATTTACATTTAAATAATTACTTTTAAAATTCTGACTTACTCATACCAAAGGTGTCTAGAAAATAGTTTTGTTGTTTTGTGGCTGTTCTGTTTTTTAATCTGTTTAGTTATTTTTCTGTAACCATATAGTCAAATCTTCTGTTTCCTATGTTAGCAGTACAGAATAAATATACAGAGTATCTGATCCACAGACTATAGTGTATCTTTTAAAAGTGTCTTGCTTTTCAATATTTACTAACATGTTTCAGTAAATACTGATCTATTGTAAGAATCTATGTGAATCGCATATGCCAGCTCTAATTCATTGTTTCTCTGAATCACTGTGTTGAGAAGTATTTACCTCAAAAGCAGAGTTTTTAAGAAGGGGTACCAGGCAACAAGATGGGAAGGTAATTGTGTGTGTCAAGTCTTGACATCTCTTTCTGGATAATCCAGTCTATCAAAATGTTTAAATGTTTAACCAGTGTTTCATAAGGCCTGTAAATGGATTACCAAAATAATATCAGGGAACTGTGTTCTCTCTTATGTGCACAAAGAATGAATAGAATGTAGTAGAAGATGCCTGGATGAATTATAACCATAATTTCATGGCACAATCTACCATATAGTAGAAATTGCTTATTAGAAATTGCTTATTTTTAATTATTTACCATAGGAAATAACTAAGTCAGTTTACAAAAATATGTAATCCTGTGGAATTTCTTGATTAATTTATTTAAATTTTGTTCATTCTAAATTGTGTGTGTGTGATAATATCAAGGTATCCTAGTTGAGAGTAGAGGTTCATTCTTTCAAGCAAATGTAATCTTGCATGTCTTAGTGCCTTGGTTAAATAAAAGGTGTCTTCACTTTTCTGATAAACATTCTAGTAAAAGGTAATCTACATAGAGACGCCTCGAGCTACTGCTTCTACTCTTGCCTCCCTTCCTGCACACACGTTGCCAAGATTGTTGTGTAAGATGCCTGCCTGCATGTACAGCCAATTCAATAAATGTGCCTTTTAACATTTTATTTTTCAATGGAAATTTATCGTTGCTAAAAGTAAACTTTATTTAAAGTGGTTTAGAATTGGTATTTTTGTGTCGTTAATATTTTTGTAAGTCCGTATGGAAAAGATCAAATAAAGTCTAATATTTCAGTGGAAAGCCATGTCTGAAAATGATTTATATTTATTGAATTTTTAAGTGTTTCTAATTTTTCAAAGATCACTTTTCTTTCTGAAAAGAACTTGCATTTTTAAATGACAGTACACATATCGCATGTTTTAAAAGACCAACTCGCCTATGCACTAGTGTTTCTTTCTTAAGTTACTCATAATTAGGGAACCAGTGATTGAGAAGAACCACTAATATAGATCAAGTTTTCAATTGATATTTAAAGGACACTTCTGAATTGAATTGTTGAAGTAAAATTGTTGAGGATTTAGAATTAGCTTACTTGTATTATATTTGGAAAATCTGCTTCCTAATGGAATTTTAAAAAGTAGATAAAAAGCAGTAGGTAGAAAAGAGAATATTTAAAATCTACATTTTAAAATCTAATGAACAAAATAAACTGAGGAACAAAATAGACCCAGAGACGCTGAAGCATGCAACAGACTGATGTGTAGCAGAGGGAAAGGAGGGGTGGGGCTGGGAAGAAGTTAACCAAAGAACTTACATGTCTATATGCGTAACCCATAGTAT